AACCAAGGCGGAGCCAAACCTTGGAAAAAAAAAACCATGGACCCTCTAAAACCCTCAACCCTAAACCCTGAGGAAACGCCCCCGAAATCTGAATAAAAGGCAGCCACAGCGCCTGACGGCCGTCCCCGCTCCTGCCGCATTTTGCAGAGACCTGGAACCAGGATCATCGCTGCAACGCGGTTTAGGGTTTAGGGTTATCCCTCGATGCCAACACGGAGTAAAACTAGGTACCCTACACCATAAGTAAGAATATACGGGGAATCTAGGGCCATAATATTAACACCTACATAAATCTAGGTTCCATTTCATTTTTCATTTCTTGTCCCTTTGATCATCCATTTCTGGGGGTAATATCCCTAACCCCTAGACAATCCCAATCTAACCCTAAACTCTAAACTCTATTCCCTAAAGCCAAACCCCTAAACTCTAATCGCTAAACCAGATTCCCTAAACAGTAATCCCTAAACATAAGGATCCACATATAAGGCGCCTACATGCGCCTACAGTATACCACTTGCCCCCACCCCTTCTGGGCTTCCCTCCTTCTCCAAGGCAGGCCTCCTGAAAAGACTAAGGGTTTAGTGCTTAGGGTAATCCTACAATGCTTCTCATGACGTAATATCGTGGGAGACTATAGAATAACACGTACTGCTATATAAGACTGTATAGTACTACAAGTATATAACAACATTACAAGACTATATAATGAAGTTGAATCATAAACAGTACTGTGTAATACCATCTCATGCTATAGTATGACTGTCTGAAAGCTCTCGGGATGACTCATCCGGCGAATGAGTGCAGCTTCAGCACAAGCTGCCTGCATGGGCCTTCTTCATGGCATGCGCCAGCTGGGTCTCCTGAAGAAGTTGTGAGAAGAGGCAGGTTCTGGGCAGCGTTGAAGGTGATAAAGGGCAGCTATCACCAGCATCATCATCATCATCATCATCATCAGCAAGAGCCATCAGATAGTTTGCAAGCGGCAGCCTACCAACACAAGTCCTTCCACGTCTTTCGCCCCACCCCTAAGCCCTATTAAACACTAAACCTACACCCGAAAGTCGCTGAACCCTAAACCATGACACCGGTAGACCTTAAACCCCCTTCCCTACACACCATAGTATTACATTACTAGAAAATGTTACACAGGTTTACATAGCACTAGATAATACGAAAACCCCCAACGCCTCTCCTCTTGCAAGGTGTCGCTGCGGCCCTCCGCATGCTGCTGCAGGAGGGCTTCAACTTTGGCAGCTGCCTTGGAACCAGAGGGCGGGATGGGTTCTTAAAGGTATGGTTTCGGGATTTGGGTTTTGGTTTTTCTTGGTTTAGGGCTTCATGTTTGGGGTTTGGAGTGTAGGGCCCAAACCCTGTATCTCCTCTACGTTACACCTTCAACGCTTTTGCATGGAACCCCTTCTGCCGCCAAAGGAAAATCCTGAACCCCAAACCGCTCAACACTGAACCACCTGTCGGCAAATCTGCCTGGTCCTCCTCTTCACAGCGGTCGCATTCGCAAACGAAGCCGAAGCGGCCAGGGAGGAAAACTTTCCGCCTTAGGCCCATGGTTAGGCTTTAGCATCATTAAAGTTTCCACTAGTCATGAACCCCTTTTTGCGGTTACCTATAGTAAGGCAACAACCTTGCGATAACCGTGATATTCATAATAGTAAGAACGATAACAACTTATACTGATATACACACAATAACGACAATACCGAAAACCGTGACTCTAAGCGAAATAACAAGAGCAGCAACAATAGCAGCAGTAGTAGCAGCAGTACCCGTAGAAGCAGTACTAGCTTCTAGTGGCGGCAGCAAGAGGAGGAGGAGGAATCTATATACTCCAAACCCTAAACCCCAAACCCGGTAGCTGCCAGTATTGAGGTCAAGGCAAATCCTTGGGAAGCAGAATGAGGTCGTCAGAGTAATGAATCCTGGCAGCAGGGCTTAATGTTTAGCGTTTAGGGTTTAGGGTTAGATCCCTACAACAATCCGGAAAAATCCAAAATAATCGTTCCTACTCCACTCCGCTTTAAGCACCAGCAAGAAAAGACCGTGCATTGCCCCTGTGCCATCCGAATACTCTGCGAACCTACCTGGAGGTTCCAACACAGAGGGTAAGGGATATGGGTGGTTGTCAAAATTATGGCACTTTTTTGGTCCTTGTTAGAATACGGCACATGATATTTAGGATACCCAAAAAGGGACCCTAATTCTGACAACCACCCATACATTGGGAAACCTTCAGGGCTGGAGGTTCTACTTTGGTCCACTAACAACACAAAATGAGTTATAGTCTAAACTCCTAGCATTCCCTCAAGAACCTCCATAGTAGCCCCCTATATAATCCCCTATATAACCCCCTTTAAGGAGTTTAGACTATTGTACAAATTGTACCGTCTGCGTTGTAAGGATCGGACTGATAAGCTTGAAAACCCCCATGGCAAAGTTCTAAAAGGTCAAGATCTTCTACACACCCACAACCATATAGTCCCCCTTAAGTAGATACTATAGTATATAGTGGTTATATAGGGATAATGGAAGAGAGAATGGAAACTACTATATTATAACAGGGTATATATTGGGGTTATAGTCCCCCTTAAGTAGATAGGATATGGCTTCGGGTATGTTATAACAAGATCCCCATATACCCCATATTCATCTACTTAAGAGGGACTATAACGCAACCCTTACCATAAGGATCCCAAAAAGGCACCCCTGATTCTTGCAAACGATTACAATGGCAGCCGGCAGTGCGACAGCTCTGTGCCCTGCCACAGATGCAGTTCAGGAATTTGGGTTTCTCCGGAAAGGGGGCTCTTATGAGACTCTAGGGATTTGAAGGAATTGTAGTGAGGGAGCATGGGGGCTGCCTACCAAGCATGATACAGAAATCACTTTCAAAAAAAAACAACATTCCAGGCATGACAACAATGATGGAGCCCATGAGCTTTTGCGCGTTGAAAGTTAAGTGCTTATGGGAGCTAAGTGGTCGTGTACGAAATTATCCAGGGGTATATGACATGCTACCTCCCATAAACAAACATGGAAAGGGATTCCTTCAATCCGTGCCTGTTGGAGTAGGGATAACTCTTTGCGTCTGCGATCCCATCACGCTAGCCAATGCAAGGTAAGCACTTGAATGTCTGCGGCAATCAACATCCATCACCTGTACCCTAAACCGAAACCCTCACACCCTCAAACACCAAGAACATAGACCCATCCTTTTCCACAGGGCGAATGGTCAACACGTGCGAGACACCGTTCGACCTCCGCAGGTCCGGACAGGCAAGCTGATGAAGTTGAGATCTTTAATGAGGTACTATTGAGCATTGTCACTTGTGCATCTATATAAGCCTGGATCTAACGCATTCATGGCTCTTGGTTTCTTTTGAACAGGAAGAGGATCCTGAACGCTATGGGCATCAACGGCTCTACATCAGCTGGCCTTAGAGGAAATACATGTTCTCAGGTTCGTGTTGGCAACCTGATCAATGGGCCGAAATCATCATAATGGGGTTTGAAAGTGTACTATACTATAGAGCTATATAAAAATTCAAACGAGACAATACTTCTGCTTTCTCAAGCTTCTATATTCGTAGCAAGTCCGTGACAAGCAAGAACGAGCAAAAACATGAGTCTCCAAGCATCGGGCGGATTCCGATACACAGAGCATGTGGGCCTCGGAGATCAATGCGCCAAGCCCCAATAATGAGAGCATGATGTGGAGGGTTGTCAAGAGCATGGTCCCTAGATAGAAGGGGCCATATAATTATGCATAGCTAGACCGCGGTTTGGGGGCAAAATCTAATTCAGTTACAGATGGGTTGTATTCTGAAATCAGTGGGCAGTATTCTGCTCAGCCAGCTTCGTACAGTAGCGCACAAAATGGTTCTACACAGGCTATGGCCCGTTTTAAAGCATCCTAAGCGTAAAATCCCTGCATAAGCCCCAAACCCTAGACCCTAAACATAACCCGTATTACTTTGGGGTTAAGTACCCGCACTGGGACATTGACTAGGCTTGCAGCCAACAGGAATGGTTGAACACGGACAGCCTGCAGAAGGTTGCAACTGCGGATGCGGAGGGAAAGGTCCAGGGCTGGGATAGGGGTTTAGGGGATAGGGTCGAGGGATTAGTGTCTAGTGTCTACGGAAGGGTGTAGGGCGCGGACTTTTGCAAGTGATCCTGTTGAAGGCAAAAATGGGAGGGCTCTCAAAAACATGGGGCCTTTCGGACCCTAGGGTATGTGAGGATTATAAGGAGTTTATTGGGGTCCATGAGGATTACATGGGGCCAGTTTTGATCATCTCCCATATCTTGCACCACCCTGCAGGCAACAAATCCATAGCTTTGGAACCCAAGTGTTACAAGACTTTCTCTCACGAGTTGGACCCTGTTCAGAATTCTAATGTTAACGCGGAGTATTCTTGCGCCCACTCTTGCGCCGTCTTGTGTACTAAGGACTTTGCACGCATTTCAACATAGTAGACAACACGGCATGTGCCACAGCATCAGCTAGTCTACAAATGCAATCCAACCCTGTGAATGGGAACGCAAATGTCACAAGAACATGAAAACTGAAAAGTGGAGCGGATCGGATTCGGATTTGCAGTGATTCTCAATCAATCAACCTGAAGCTTGAAGGCCTTCAGCCATCTACCCCACACCAGACGCCACATGGCCGATGTGCGCCCCAAAGACCCCCGCAAACCCCAAACTCAGAAGTCCGTAAACCACAAACCGGATGATGGTTAAGCCCTCCTAATCAAAGCTGTCCTGAACGCTAAACCCTACATGCTGGCATCCTTAAACCTAAACCCTTAAATCCTGAACCCCTAATCCTAAACCCAAGCACCCAAGTTCCCTTAGAACTGCTTGGGGTGCGCACTTGCGGAAAAGAAGCCAAGCCTCCTTTCCGTCCCTGGCAGAAAGATGTTCAGGAGGTATTTGGGGGTTTAGGATGTCGGGTTTAGGGTGTAGGATTTAGGGCTGAGGCTTTAGGATGTAGGATTTAGTGTTTCGGGTTTAGAGTTTTGGGTTTAGGGATTTAGGATCTAGGAATTTAGGATCTAAGGGCTCGGGAGTTGGAGATTTGAGGATTTAGAACTTGGGGATTTAAGGTTTTGGGATATCGGATTTTTTGAGAGATTGAGGGTTTTGGGCTTAGGGTTGCACAGTGCCGCTTGGGAGATATCCAAAACAAAGGATAAATTTACAGATCCCACGAATACGTAAGGATTGGTATCAGGGCGGCATACCTCTGAAGGATCACAAGATGCAAGGGCAATCTTCGAGCTACGCTGCCTCCGCCTCACATTTCACGCAGTTTAGGTTTTAAGGTTTATGGCTTATCAAGTGAGGAGAATATTATCCTGGTAACCCCTCAGCCTCATGTGAGCTAGAGTGCATATTTCCTATATAATTGATGGACATGGGTTCCCACTACCCATTCGGGAATATATCTGGGACTACACTAAACTACCAAAGGGACCCTATGTCCAGTCTTAGTGGTCCTTTGGTAACCCTAGTATTGTAATCCTAATAATCCCTAATAATGACGATAGTTCACATGAGAGTCATAGGGTGCTTGTTTTGGGCTTTCGTAACTAAAGCACCCGTATTATCCTTAAAATCACAACTTCAAGCCCGAAATACCCTTAAGATCCCTGACCCTTTATAGCCCCTATCACCCCAAATACCCTACACACCCTTATGCTTTGTTGAAATCGCCTAAACCCTAAACCCTAAACCCTAATCTTATCCATTGAAGCGGAGCCACGAATCCGCGGAAGTGCAAAAGCCGTTGTTGCGCGCTGCAGCTAACCTCAGCAGCCCCGGGCAATCATACTCTAAACCCTAAACCCTAAATTCATGTAGGGTGTGGAGTTTCGGATTTAGGGCCGCAAGTTGAGGATTTGGGCTGGAGGATCTGGGGTTACACGAGGTTTCGGGTTCAGCATTTTTGGCTTTGGAGCTGTCATAGCAGGCCACAGCGTTCTGGAAGATTCTTAGAGGCAATGTGGGCAGTTTTAACTCAGAATACGTGACATAAGATTACAAGTACAGGGCTTAGTCGTTGGGATTTAGGAGCAGAGTCCTCCTGCTCGGGAACCTTCTCATCTTAGACCAACCCATGAACCTCTACGAACGATTGCTCTCCATCTTAGGCCAACACGCTTTTGCCAATTTCTCCTGTGCCAGGAGCTGATTCACTGGATACCAGCACCACACTTACCGGAATACTCAGAAAGGAAAGCATTATGGGACCTCAATGCATAGAAATGCTGCACAGAAGGTCTTGAGGCATAAGTCAACACGTGGACGAAGCTTGACGTACATGCGCGACATATGACATAGAAGAAACCCAAACCTAGGCAAATCCACTTGGCAAGGGAGAGATATACAAAGAGAGCGACAAAGTCATGACAGAAAGGACAACTCTAAGCCACGTGCCCCGTGTCAGATGTGACCAGTTAGGAACTGTAGGGGAGATGTCAGCAGTCCTTTGAATGTAGTGGCATGTTGCCAAGCAGCGTGTCATCGCTTCTGCCATTTCATTTCGCTTACGGTGCCCTCGCTCAAGCCGCAACACTTGCACTCTATGATTACCCACCTCTAGACGCTGCACTCAAGGCGACAATACCACAAAGATTTTGGTGCCACAAACCCTATGCTCCCCAAATACCGGAAGCCTGAATCCAAGACCCTAAACCATCCTCTATTTCCCATAATGTAACCCCACTAGAACCCCTATCAAAAAACTTTTTGCCCCTTATGTAAGCCTGTAAGTCCCTGTAGACGGCTTTTCTGGGGTTTAGAGTTGGGGGTCTAGGGTCCAGGGTTCAGGGTTTAGTTTATCAATTTGGCCTTGGTCATACAGCGCATGCCCTCGAGCCATCGGAATGCCTTGCGGCGCGATGGAGGTTGATCTGGAGAGTATATGATTCTAGGAGTATATGGTTTAGGATTAACCGTTTCGGGTGTAGGGTTTAGGGCCCTTTTTGAGGGGACTATGTAAGGATCGTACACCGACATATAACCAAATATTTCGCCACCAATGGAAAATCCAATTGAAAAGAGAAGGCAAAATGAAATGGATGCTGAAATTGTTGATATTCCAGGTACGGTTCAAAGCATGCATGACCTTGGCATAATAAAATGCCATAGTTCCTGGGTATCAGGTACTCAGGGCCATGCGGGAGTTTAAGCATCAACCGTGGGAACTTCTCGAACTCAGTGGCCTTCTAGATGCACAGGCACAGATACATACAGGTGTATATATATATATGGATGCGATTTACTCTTGTACGTATCTGTAGATACACGCTTAGGGGGATGGAGTTAGAGGCCAGACTCATGGTAGTTTCCCAAAACAAGGGGACCCCAATATGTAGACCCACATATACTAAAATCCTTACTATGGGGGGCCCCAAAAAAAATAGCCCTAGTTTTGGGAAACCCTAAACCCTAAACCATATAAATTGCCTATCTAGCCCTTATAAACACCTGTAAAAGTACCTCAAATTTTCGGGAAACCCCAAAGCTAAGAAAATACTCTTGGCAGCTTAGAAGGCTCATAATAAGATCCCCCATATGGGGGTTTCCCAAAATTAGGGGTACCATTTTAAGGGTCCCAATAATAAGGACTATAGTATTTTGGGGTCCATATTGGGGTCCCCTAATTTTGGGCTATACAGGTCAAGACTAACATGCCAAAAGCTAGGGAGATACTCTAAACCTTGAACCCTAAACCCTAAAGCACCTAAACCCCTGAACCCTAAACTCTGGCGGCATGGAAGGGCCTCCGTATCCTTGACGTCAACTTCGGAGGAGGGCACCCTCAACTCACTGCCTGTCCGACGATGAATCGGGTTCAGGGCTCATTACCACCACCCAGGGTTTGGGGGACGGATTTTTACTTTTACAACTTTGAAATTCTAAAATTTACTGAATTTTGGTACTTTACATAATGGCAATTTTATGGGCTTGAGGGTTTAGGGTTCAGGGCTTAGGGTTCAGGGTTTGGGGTTCAGGGCTCAGGGCTTCAGGACAAGGAAGCCAAGGGCGGAAACTGCGCACATGGATTCGGGCTTGGGTTGAGGATTTGGTGTTGAGGGTATAAGGTTTTGAGTTCAGGGTTAAACCCTGAACCCCAAACCCTTAAAAGTTCAGGGCCCAGGAAATGACCCTAGACCCTAAACCCTGCATACCCCCATACAATCCCCAAAAACCCTTTAAAGGGTGCCCCTAATTTTTGGAAACCCCTGCATCCCAGTGCCGCCTTCTTCCTCCGCGGCCATGGCATGGATGGCTGCAAGTGCGCCAAAGTCATCATCCTCAGGGTCGAAGATATGGGGCGCCTCAGCAAACAGCCGCAGCTATGGTTTTGGATTTTAGGGTTTAGGGTTTGGTTAGCTGGGAATGAAGGAATGGAAAAGAAAACTGGAAACTACTATAATAGGTCATATGGGGACTACTATAAGGATCCATTCCTTCATTCCTAGCTAACCAAAGGTGAGACAGCCGTAGTTCTGCGTCACGGGGAGGTGTCAAATTGTAGTCCCACCTTGGGTACCCTAAACATGTTGATCGGGGTTCTATAGAGGACCCAATGGGGGAGCACAATTTTCACAGCGCATGGGCAGGTCAATTGGGCAGAATAACTACCAAGGCTTCCTCGTAATCATCATCAACATTGAATAGAAGATACCCCCAAAACCTATTCTAATTAAGAGCCTACAACGAGATAGCCAAGGCGGCCTCAGAAAGCAGCAGCTCTCCTGCCGAAATGCTCCTTGCCGCTGGTAGCTGAGTCGGGGAGGGGGGGCAGCGGGCAAACATCAGCTTAGGCAGCTTAGGTAGCAAATCAACAGCTTGGATGGAAGGGCTCCTGTTCGCAAAGTATCCTCTTCCCTTATCTCCACCTGCAGGTGGTGATGACTTGATGACGGCCAAACCCTCCAGATCTTGTTTGCATGCACCCTTACAACTCTCGGAGCTAACCTCACCCGCAGGGCACTTGAGCGCACCATCTGAAGTCATCAGCGGCACCGACCTTCGTCGCGAATTGTCATCTTTGGACTGACGAAGGTTGCTGACCTTCCAGCTTGAGCAGGTTTAGTATATGACTGGTTGTCAAAATTATGGTCCCTTCTTGGATCCCAAAATAATAACACGGCACCTAATATGTAGGGTACCCTATTTCTATTCCTATTCCTGTTACCATTACTATTGCTATACCTTTTTTGCTACTACTATTCCTACTACTTTTACAATCACCTGCGCCATCACTAGTGCTATTTAAGATACTATTACACAACAGCATGCGGGGGAAGGAAGAAATCAGGGTGCTGACAGATGACCTCTCTAAAGAAAAAGGAAGCCTCTAGTTTATTGGGTTCATGGGGATCAGTAAGGAAGGGAAATCTAATACGTTTTAATACGGAGACGTAGCAAGTTGGCTCATTGAATCATTATGTTGCCTATATCGATTATAAGTAGAATTACTGTGTCTCCCTGAACCTGCAGGCACTGGACAGTGGCCTTTATACGTCCCCTGTGGCGCTTCCATGTTAGTTTAAGGAGATGTGCCCAGGCATTAAGCTAGAGACTCGGATGAAACTTGCACGTTGCTGGTGCAAAGCGGCATCTTGGAATGTACCTGGCTTGCAATGGCAAAAAATCCAGCAACAGTCGTCATCTAATTGCGGAAGCATCTCGGCGTACAGCAGGCGACCCTCCATACCGGCAATTTCCAAAAGTTCGAGGATGGGCCCCTGTCATCAAACTCCTCATATGAGCGAACCCCTGGGTACTAGCGTGTTCTTTCCTTGACGTGAACCCCAAAAGAGATTCGACAAATTTGCCGTACACATCTAACTCGAGCCGGCGCACCAGCACACCAAGCCTGGCGAGCGTGAATTTGCAATAATACACCCCATGTGGGGAGGGCGGGGAGCTACAAAAAGCAAACATGCATCCATGTTGAGGAACATGTTGGAATTTGTTGGAGGAACTCCCATACAAAGCTAGGTTTATAATTGTTGTATACCCAAGATGACACCATAATGCCTACACGCTCACCCATCTTCGAAGAAAAGCCATTACATTTACCAAAAGCAGGGCCAAAAAACAAAATGTCTCCATTTGTGCTCTGGCTACACTCAGTTTTCCAGACACTCGCATCCCGACATTATTGACACGTGCCTATACACCTGCAATCAAGCCCGCATATCCCTTCCTACCATGCACCGTAAGTTGTCAAATTCTGGTCTCTTTTTGGGTGCCCTAGGGGCCGTATGACAGTGGCAACTCCAAAAAAAACACCATACCTTTGACCACCCCCCTAATTATCTGGCATCCTACCCCTAACCCTAAAACCTTAAACCCTGAGCCCTTAACCCTGAAGATCCTGAACCCTAAATAGGGTTTGTAAGACTCCCCTTCTATGACAACGATCATTGCCAGTCATGCGCCTGGCCACACTCAGATCCACACTCCCCAGATCCTGCATGCGCTTTGGGTTTAGGATGTAGGGTCTTGGGTTCAGGGTTTAGCAGTGGTAGTTTCCCTAAATACGGGGACGCCAAAATGGTGCCCGTGATCTTTGGGCGTCACGGATCCTGGGCGTCACGGCACGCTCCCTGAAGATCCTGGAAAAGTTTTGGGCGTCACGGTAGGCTCAATGAAGATCCTGGAGGAGCTTTGGGCGTCACAGCGCGAGCTTTGGCATTCGGATTGGTTCTTTGTTGTTACTGTAAATGGATCCCAAAGGGTCCATGTAGGTATATGGTATATACTTAGGCCCCAAAGGGGGTTCCCATATACCTATTTTAAGGCCCAAGTATATTGTGTGGGACAGGACAGCACTTTTGCTGGTTTCAGGCTATAGGGAGGCCAACCCCAGCTCATGCCAGGCAAGACATGAAAGCCCACCGTGTATATTTGATAAAAGCTTAACCGTAGTAATAGGCCTATAAGTGCCCGTAAGCGTCGAAAAGCCTTTATGCTTCATGAATGTAATGGTTTTACTTGCTGTTATCCAAAGGATCCCGAAGGTTGCGGGCCCGGAGGTGTACAAAGTTCGGTCTTAGAGTGTAGGCTTATAGCAGGGTGTATAGAAATCCAAATCATTGATTCTCAATTTTCTTGCGCAATAGGAACTGAAGGAACCGTGGAACCGAACCGCACGAATCGAACCGCCTCGAGCCGTAGAGGCTTCATCCGGGGCTAAGTTCCTCACAAACCGAACCGAATGGAACCGTAGCCTTCCTGCGATAATAATAGGAGTAATTGTAATACTAATAATACTAATATCTTGCACCAAGCCCAAAATCTTCACTTAGCTGCTACAGGCGCAACACCTCCTTAAACCATGACCCGAAAAGCCACGCAGTTTAGGGTTCAGGGTTTAGGGTTTAGGGTTCTTGTAATAGCAGGCATCGCACGAAGGGCTGTTCAGCAGCTTGCAAATGGCAGATTCCGGAATAGCATTTCTACTGACATATCCAAAAATATTTGTAGGAATTCCAAAAAGAAACGCTTGGAAGTCCCCAAGATATAGTTTCCGAAATCCACCGCCGCCTTCTGGGTGGCATGTAAGGCAGGAATCCCAAACGTTGGGGGTAGCGTTTCAGGTCCTCAACGGAAAGTGCTGCCAACGGTGTTGGGTGTAAGATCTTCGGCTCCGCTTTGGGAAAAAGAAGATTTTGGTAGACCCAACCCCCAAAACCCTACACCTCAAACCTTAATCCCTTTAGGTTTGGGGTTTAGGTTTAGAGTTTAGGTGTAGGGTAAAAGTTGTCTTCCCCATCTGCACCTAGGAACATTTCAGCCAAAAAATCAAGCATTCCAAGAAACATACTCGGAACATACTAGACGATCCTTTCAACAGAGCTTCCTGAAAA